TTTTCGGATCTTTGCTGTGGAGGGACGGCGTGGTGCTTCTGCCTAGAGTGCCATTTTGCCAGAACTCTCAATTATGTGACTTTTATTGGCCTTTTTTTTTTTTAAGGAAGTGGAGATGGGGAGACTTTTACATGAAGGCAGAGAATGCAATCAAGTCTGCTATCTGCAAGACGTGGAGTTGCCTTGCAATGCTGGAAGAATTAAACGGGGAAACAATAACAAAACAGAATGTTGTGAAATTATAAGAGGAGGCAATGTTAAATTGGCCTGCAATACTTATCAAGAGGTCTTTAAATGGCACTGGGTACAGGATTTGCTAGCAGTGGTATAAAAATTGGCTGATCGTTTTTCAGTGTTCTTCCTGTCTTTCATTTGGAGCAGTTTGCCCAATGGGATTCTGCTATTTTGAGTTCATTACTGGGCAAAATCTAGGGCAAAGACATCTGAAGGTACAACATACAGCCCCAGTGAGCCAGTGGTATTTGAGTTCTTTCTAGTTAGACTAATTTAGGATAAGGTACATAAGACTTTAATATTCTTCCACTGTTTTGTAGGCTTTTGCTTGTATGGTAGATGTTGTTTCCTTGGCCATCTTCTTCCAAATTTCAGTCTTCCTTCAAAATTTTCATGCCAACCTAAGCAAGACTAATGTTATCTCTGATTCAGTCTGTCCCAGCACCAGTTTTATCCACCTCTTGTACTAGATACTTTACTTGGAAGCACAAAATCAGAAACTTTCCTGATACCAAGACTCAGTCTGCCCTGTTATTTTACCTTGATTATGCCAGCTCCTTCTTTCAAAATGGAAGCTGCCTGCCATTCTGGAAATGTCTCTATATCTTTTGTTGTTATAAACTTTTGTCTAGCAGTGTCATAAATATAATATAGAAGAGGGGTTAGCCCTTACAGATAGAATTAAGAAAAAAAAAGTCCAGGAATAAACTAACTAATGCTCCAATAGAGTAAGTGTGGGATTAGACACTTGAGAAATTAAATACTAAACAAGTTCTGATGGAAAATGATGAGCCATGTGCTCGAACCTTTTTTTTCAGCAAGCAAACTTGTCAATATTTTGATTAGGAAGGAAAGCACAGGAATGTGTTGGTAAAAGTTGTTTATACTGTCAAGGAAACATACCTTGTATCTGTTATTGTTGTTGGGTGTTGTCAAGTCAATTTTAACTCATAGCGAACCCGCATGTGTCAAAGTAGAACTGCCCCATAGAGTTTTCTTGGCTGTAATCTTTACAGAGGAAGACTGCCAGATCTTTCTCCCATGGAGACACTAGGTGGATTTGAACTGCCATCCTTCTGGTTAGCAACAAAGCACTTAACAATTTGCATCACCAGGGCTCCTTATCTATATATTATATTCTATATATCCAGATTGCTATATAAATCTAGGTTCTAGAAACAATTATGCCATGAACTAGTTGCACCTGTTGAATCTTAAGACATTTAATTTTTAAAGTAGGGATGTTAAGTGCTCACTAAGATCCCTTCCAGCTCTCACATTCTGATTTACTATTTTAAGCATATTTTTGGATACTAAAGGAGAACAGTATCTCCAAAACAAGACTTTTTTTTCCCCTCATACTCGATCCACTGTTTCTATACAAAATGGTTTAGTTCTTTGTTCTCTTCTTCACTGATTTCTAGGCAGAGGTGGATTAACACATAAAGACCTTTTTGAAATGATTTTCTCCTTTTGCTTTTAGATCACAAAAGACTCTGCTTATTTCTCTGCTGGCCGTTGATGCTCCTCTTCCTGACTCCTAAAGAGTCCATGTTGCCTATTTTCTCTTGACAACTCATCCATCTGCATGGCTTCTTTTTTTTAACTGATACTGACCAAATTTACTTTCCTATCTCTGAACTCTACCAAGATTCAGACCTACATATCTTTGTTACACCCTATAAGCACTTTTTTGGGAAAATGGTCTACTGTGCAGCTTCCTGAACCTGGATCACCTAATCAGTCCTTGGTCCTGGAACATTCCCGGATAATGGAGGCTGTGCTAGTTTCTTCTTCTTCCTTTTCAGGGAAACTCCTTCCCTGTTCTGGGTACACAGTCTGCTTACTGTTTATAGGTGAGCATCACATGACACTTAGTAAACCTTACTCCTCTATCTGTTTCTGGTAGGAAGGGAAAGTGGTGCCTTTTCTGCAACATGAGCTGAATGCATGCTGCTGCGGGGGGTGACCCACTGGCCACTGGGGACCAACACCCACTGTTGAAGATGATCTTTCTCTGTCTCTTCTCTATGTGTGTAAAGTGTTGTTCCACCCAGTGTCTGTGTGTAAGTTGTGTCTTTCTTGGTTACCTTGGACCTTGGCTCAACAGTTTGGCACAGCAAACAAGGTCAGCACAGATCAAATTCAACTTGCCTAAAAAATAACCTCAGATTATTCTCCTTGCTGACTTAACTATTTATAATAACTGCATCACCATTCTTTTAAGATTTCAATTAATTTTTATTCTAACTCCTTATGTCATTCATTCAAGTAGTCATTAAGTCTTGTTTATTGAAATGCTTCTTATATCAGTTATCTACTCTTGTTTCTGTGGCCATCGCTCTAGAGCCAGACCTCATTCTCCCTCGCTTGGATTATCCAACAGTTTCCTAACTTCTCCATTCTTCTTTCTCCTTACCATTCCAGACACTTCTGCCAGACTTATCCTTCAAAGAAGTGCTTCAGTCATTGCACTCCTATATTTCAATGGTACTCCACCACCATCACCCAGATATCCATAAAGTATATGAAGAACTCCTCACTCTGCCATTTATAAACTCATGCTATTAACTGAACTAATTTTTCCAGCTATCTGTTGCAACTCTTCTACATTAATTTTATATTTCAACCATACCAAACTTCTTGCTGAATGCATAATAAGCTTTCTCTCATTTGCTAACACTGTGTTCTTTGGACCACTCATCCTTCTCTCTCACCTCCTATCAGTAGGTGTAAAGTCCAAGAAATTAGTGTCAGTATCTTAATCCATCTTTCAATACTCTGAAAGGCCTAGCCTAGCATGTTAAAAACCATTGGTATAGATAATATTTTTTGTTTAAACAAGCTGACTTGAAACTTCCAAATTATATTGAGGTTTTCTGACTAATTCAGTCTGATATCTAGAGAGCTGACAGTGTCAGGACTAGACACAATGTCAGCTGAACTCCAACGCAGAGTTCTTTCTACTTCCTCACACAGTCTGTCTATCTTTGTTTACTCCTTTGAATATTCTTGAGACCTGATCAAATGAAGGGAGAGAGGCATATTCTACTTGTCCTCTGAGGGAACATAAAATCAATAATCTACGGGAGGTCCACACTGAATCAGAATGAGGTTAAATTTTCAGGTGGTCTCAGAGCATCCAAAATTGAAAAGCATATACTGTTTCTGTTACACATTCTAATGTAGATAGTCATAAATTTTGAAGGTCGTAAGTCAAATGACTTTGCTTTGAGATGCAGCACAAGCCTCAGTTTCCTTATCTGTAAGAAGGCAATAATTATATAATCTACTTCAGAGGGCTGTTGTAAAACTGAGCAAGATGATGCATGTCAAATACTTGGATAAGGCCTAGTATATAGTAAGTGCTCAATAAACATTAGCTGGTATGATTATTATTATTAGCATCATCACCACTGGTCACCCAAACAGCTCTATAGCTAATAAAGTGAAGACGGTCCTGAAATTCTTTCATATTTTAGAGAAATCTGTTGGAATATGATAATCTAATTTGGGCTCTGCCACTAAATAATTATCAAAACAACTTAAAGAGGACTCAGAAGTCATCACTATGGAGAATAAAGAACAAGGGAATACTATCTAGGAGAAAATATTTAAAAAACTGCAATTATTCTGCCTAAAGAGAAATTTGGTGAAACAGTTAATATATGTCTTCTGAGATATTTAGAAATCAGAAAATGAAAACAGTGACTGCTTGGTTTTATTTTAACTAAGGACACTAACTCCCATAGAGGATGAAGTGTTAATGTTATACAGAAAAGGAAAAAAATATATGTCCCCATACCTTATGGGGATAGCCTACCAAGAGAGCTGTGGTGTTATTTAAAGATAAGTTTGTATCATACATATCTGAGATAATGTAAATATGACCTCATTAAAATAAGATGATGGCAGGTGGCTTACACAGTCTTTCCCAGCCAGTTAGCAATGTGAAGACCCAAGAAGCTACCATGGCTTCTTCTGATTGCTCCACCCTTGTTATGGATTGAATTGTGTCCCCTCAAAATATGTGTTGTAAATCCTAACCTCTGTGCCTGTGGTTATAATTCCATTTGGGAATGGGTTCTCTGTGTTATGTTAATGAGGCAGGATTAGTGTAGGGTGTATCTTGAGTCAATCTCTTTTGAGATTTAAAGTAAAGAAACAAGCAAGCAGAGGAGAAATGGGGTAAGATAGATGTCAAAGCACGCGGAGATCTCCAAGGAACCAGGAAGCAGAAGCTGAAGAGACAAGGACTTTCCTCCAGGGCCAACAGAGAAAGCCTTCCCCTAGAGCTAGCACTCTGAATTCAGAATTCTAGCCTCCTAAACTGTGAGAAAATAAATTTGTTTGCTAAAGCTATCCATTTGTGGTATTTCTAGTATAGTAGCACTAGATAACTAAGACAACTCTCTTACCTGAACTCTCATCTAAGCTTTCCTCAGAGACGTGCTCATTTTGATGGACCCACTCCCCATTGCATTTGAAGAATATCTGCATGGCTGGCCTTGCTTTGCATCTCAGAGCAATGGGGTTGCTCTTGATTATATAAGCATCGTCTGGCTCCTCTATGAAATGCGGCAATGTCCCAGGAGCTGATGGAATGGATTCAGGAAGCACTTCGCCATTGTCGGTTCCTGCAAAATTGAAGAGGACATCAGAGCATCAGAACACAGACTATACTGGCAGCACATAAAGCAGAACACAAAGCTCAACCCACACCAGCTCTAAGATTCTATGCTGGAAAACTTTTCATCACATTAATACAGCATGCTTCTAAGACCTGGGAAGATGAATTATCTTCTAGATGCTGAACTGGCATTATTTGGTACCTCTGCTGCAAAACATTTCTTTATAGTGTTAAAAGGCTAAGATGTCACTTTGAGGACTAAGGTGTGCCTGACCCAAGCCATGGTATTTTCAATCACCTCATATGCATGAGAAAGCTGGACAATTAATAAGGAAGACTGAAGAAGAATTGATACATTTGAATTATGGTTTGGTGAAGAATACTGAATATACAATGGACTGCCAGAAGAAGGAATAAATCTGTCTTGGAAGAAGTACAGCCACAGTGCTCCTTTGAAGAGAGGATGGTGAGACTTCTCTCACATACTTTGGACATGTTATCAGGAGGAACCAGTCCCTGGAGAAGGACATCATGTGTGGTAAAGCAGAAAGTCAGTGAAACAGAGGAAGACACTCAGTGAGACATGGATTGACACAATGGCTTCAACAATGGGCTCAACATAGCAACAATTGTGAGGATGGCACAGGACTGGGCAACATTTCATTTTGTTGTACATAGGGTCGCTATGAGTCGGAACTGACTCGACAGCACCCAACAACAGCTGGACATAACTTCAGTGTTACTGGAGAAGTGAAAATTGCAAACAGGAGAACCCTCAAAGTGCAGTTTTGAATCTGAGTGCCTTTGCTGAGAGACTTGAGATACATATCTATGGAGTGAAGGGTTAAATCTCAATATTCACTCTGACAGCTGGTTTCTTCAAAGGGTTCAGTGTGGGTTCCAACCTGCTTTGAAATTTGGAAAAATGGTGCGAATAGTTTGTTCTCCTATAAATTTCTGTGAATGATGGTGGTGTTGGTAATAGGTACTCAACTATAAGTTAACTCCATAAAATTCCAAATTATCCTCTTTCTTTACCGATGAAACTTTGGAGATTATCTGGTATTCTACCTTGAATAGAATTGTCTCCAATATCTCACCTACATACTACGCCTTCCAAAAAAATGTGAGTTGGTTCTGTCTGCTTTGGCTATTATTCTCTGCCACTCAGCAACCACTTGCTCCCCATATACTATGAATTACAATACTAAAGCTGAGAATGAAATCAAATCAATAAAATAGCTATGAGTTTGTCGTTTACGACGTATAATCACATCTATTCAAAGGGAAGAGATAGAAACGGTTCTCCCCTAACTTTCAGAAACTGATGAGCAGAGAGGAACAAAATAAAAAGGGAAAAAGCAGGGACCAAGACGTTGCTTCTCTTTCTCTTCAATACATTTAACAAGGGCTTAAAGCCCAGAAAACACAAAATCAAGAGCAGTAAGGTTTGACTGCTGAGCAATATGGAGATGACCAAGACGAGTGATATCTTGTGCTGTCCAAAGACTATTCCAGTGAAAGAACAAAGAAAACAATAACCTCAATAACAACATCAACTATGCCTTCAAAAGTATTATTCCCACTGGGGCCAAATCAGTCTTTAGTGTATGGTGGTACAAATGTTTAACTTGCTCGGCTGTTAATCAGATGGTTGAAAGTTCAAGTCCTCTCACAGGTGCCTGGGAAAAAAAGCCTGATGATGTACTTCTGAAAAATTAACCATTGAAAATCCTATGGTGTACTGTTCTACTCTTACACACATGAAGTCACCATCAGTCACAAGTGACTTAATAGCAACTGGGTTTACTGGGGGGGAAAGGGAACTCGCAAAACCACTGGAAGAACTATCCTGTCCATCAGGTCCAGCTCCCAGGAGAAAACCTGGGAGTAGGGTGCAGCCTGTGACCTAATCTGGCTTTCTGTTTGCCACCAATGTAATTCTGAACAAAGAGAGCTTCTTATTACTCATGCTCAGATCAAATCAGTAAGCATTGTCAAAGGTAAACATACATCGTAGTAGTAGGGGTAATTTTCTGTGTTAAGAACATTTAGGGGCCATTCTCAAATACATGAAAAAAACAACAATTGAAAAAAACAAGTATTAGACTTCAAGAAATATGACTTCCTGTAATTATTTTTTGTGTGAGGAAGAAAATAAAAGACACTGAATTATGAAAAACACTCCTTGCCACTGAGAACACACAAGCCACGTTTGAGTCTGCAATGAATTAAACATAACAATAGCTTGATTCTCCCAAACGAGATTTTTTTCCCTTACATACATCAACTTAAGAATAAAAAATAAATAAAAAAAGCTTCCCATAACAAAGGGTTTAATACTCTATAAGCCTTAAGATGTATTTGTAATGGAAAAGCTCACTCGAGTGTAAGTAATTCAAAGTATCCAAAATCGTCTTAAAGTAAGTATTATAAATAGTATTGGAGCAAACAGTTTATGTCATAAAAGTACAAGAAAGTCACTCAGAAAATAAAATGTGTATATATCATATGAAGTAAGAGAAGTTTCAGGATAGAATCCCAGGGATTTATTTATGTATTTATTTATTTTTAACATTTTAAATTATATTTACAATGAACTTCATAAAATACATCATATATTAATTCATTTTGTTGCTGACTGCTCATGCCAATTTTCATCTTCAATAAATACCAAGTCCCTGCAGGCTTTCATAAATCCATGCATTAGAGGAAATGACAACGGTATTAAAAGATTTTTTATGGGCATCAAAAGCTCACACTTCTATCAGGGGCTTGAGTTCTGTCCAAAATAATTTATCGTTGCATAAGAGGGTCACCTGATAAAGCCTATAAACACAGCCCTATGGTGGTAGTCTGAGCAGGGTCACCCATAATGGACAGATTTCAGCAAATCTTCCAGACTTAGACTTGCAGAAAGGCCTGGAGATCTACTTCTGAAAATTAGACAATGAAAACTCTATGGATGGCAACAGAATGTTGTCCTATATAAAGCGGGAAGATGAGTCCCCTAAGTTGGAAGACACTACACAATAGCCTTAACAAGAGACTCAAGCATACCAACAATCATTTTGGAATGATGCATTTTCTTTAATTAGTAACAACGCATGAAGGAACTATGTGAAAAGTTGGGCGGGATGTCATAAATAATGTTCTCTAAGTAATAGTGAGAACACTTTTATCGACATAAAGGAAATGCCATAAAAAAAGGCACTAGATCATCAGACAAATCAAGTCTTAATCATACAACTCAAAAAACAAAGAGCAAGATCTAATGGTTACCTAATGGATATCCTCCTGTCATTTTAATAAATGCCTTTAGATAAAGTAACAAGTTAAGCCCTGATCTGAAATATACAGCAGGAGAGTGGAATGGATATGTCTGAGGGTAGGTGTGATGACTATCACAAGGACCTCTATTAAGAATCAATCATAGTATTCAGAAGAGAAAAAAAAAAAGAATGTCACATTATATCTTAACTACTAATGAAGCAATGTCAAAACTATGTATGCATAGGAAGAGGGCTGAGATCCATAAAAACAAGAGAAAAATGAAAAAAAAATGATTTATTGGAGTGGTGGTGGAAAGGAGAGAGATTGCAGGTATGCATTTATGTATGTATTACCATTTATTTGCATTGTCCCAACAAACAAATGAGACAAGTAGAAGTAGGTTGTTAGGTGACTCGAGTTGTTTTCAAGTCATAGTGACCCTATATACAACAGGATGAAACACTGCCCAGTCCTGCACCATCCTCACAATCCATGCTATGTTTGAACCCATTGTTACAACCACTGTGTCAATCCATCTTGCTAAGGCTCTTCCTCTTTTTCGCTGACCCTCTACTTTAACAAGCATGATGTCCTTCTCCAGGGACTGATCCCTCCTGATAACATGCCCAAAGCACATGAGACAAAGTTTCACCATCTTCGCTTCTAAGGAGAATTCTGGCTGTACTTGCTCCAAGACAGATTTGTCTGTTCTTCTGGCAGTCCATAGTATGTTCAATATTCTTTGCCAACACCATGATTCAAAGACATCAATTCTTCAGTCTTCCTTATTCATTGTCCAGCTTTCACATGCATATAGGTCAACTAAAGACACCATGGCTTGGGTGAAGTGCACCTTAGTCCTCAAAGCGACATCTTTGCTGTTTAACACTTTAAATAGGTCTTTTGTAGCAGATTTGCCCCATGCAATGTGTCGTTTGATTTCTTGATGGTGCTTCCATGGGTGTTGATTATGAATCCAAGTAAACAACTTGACAACTTCAATATTTTCTCCGTTTATCATGATGTTGCTTATTGGTGTATGTAAGGATTTTTATTTTCCTTATGTTGAGGTGTAATCCATACTGAAGGCTATAGTCTTTGATCTCATCAGTAACTGCTTCAAGTCCTCTTCACTTCAGCAAGCAAGGTTGTGTCATATGTGTATCGCAGGTTGTTAATGAGCCTTTCCTCAATCATGATTCCGTGTTCTTCTTCATATAGTCCAGCTTCTCGGATTACTGCTCATCGTACAAATTGAATAAGTATGAGGAAAGGATACAACCTTTACGCACATCTTTCTTGATTTTAAACAATGCAGTATCCCCTTGTTCTGTTCCAATGACTACCTCTTGGTCTACGTACAGGTTCCACATGAGCAAAATTAAGTGTTCTGGAATTCCCATTCTTTGTAATGTTGTCTGTAATTTGTTATGATCCACGCAGTCCAATGCCTTTGCATAGTCAATAAAACACAGGTAAACATCTTTCTGATATCCTCTGCTTTCAGTCAAGATCCATCTGACATCAGCAATGTTATCCCTTATTCTACGTCCTCTTCTGAATCTAGCTTGAATTTCTGGCAATTCCCTGTTGATGTACTGCTGCAACCCTTTCTGAATTATCTTCAGCAAAATTTCACTTGTGTATGATATTAATGATATTGTTCAATTATTTCTACATTCTGTTGGATCACCTTTCTTTGGAATTGAGCACAAATATGGATCTCTTCCAGTT